AAGGCAGTTGCATGTTTCACTTATGTGGCAACTTTATTCCTTCTCCTACTTCTTGTTGTTAAATGCTATTGAATTAGTTCTGACTAATAGCAACCCTGAGTAGTGCTTCAAGGAGTGACTGGTGGGTTTGAACTGTCAACCTTGTGGTTAGCAGTCTAGTGTTTATCCTACAACGCCACACCAGAACTCCTTTCCTTATTGTTACTGTTGTTGTTAAGTACCAGCAAGTCATTACTGACCCACAGAGACCCTGTGTAGGGTTTCCAAGGAGCGACTGGGGAGCTTGAACTGCCAATCTTGCAGTTCAAACAGACTTTGCAGTCCAGCGCATTAATCCACAGCACCACACCAGGGCTCCCCACCCCTAAACAGAGTACCCACCAAATTCTGGGCTCTTATTTCAACTTCACAAGATCCATCATGGAACGACAGCATCTGGTGATGTTTGCACGAGGCCTCCTTGCAAATTAGACCAGAGCTCTGGTTAACTGGTGAAGGAAGCCAGGTGGAGAGAAAGGGGGTCCTTCCATAGATATGAGTTTTGGAGCTCTAGCTCTGTCTCTGCGGCTACCCCAGCCATCTAATCCTGGGCAAATGACTTCCCACCCTGGGCCTCAGAGCCTTTATCAAATGAGGGCCTTGACCGCTGTGATTGCTGTGGGCATCTTCCAGCTTACACATTCTTTGGCCAGTACCCAGACAATTCCTAGAGAGAAGCTAGGACCAAGCTAAGCTGAGTGGTCAGGCAGGAAAGGCCACTTCCCTCCTCGATAGAGACATCCAGTCACGCCTTGAGATTTGATTTATATTTTAAAAAGAAAATCAAGAAAAATGACATTGTAACAGAAATCATGGAAAGAAATGAAATTGAGAACAAAAGGGGAAGGGACACTCTCTGTATGAGGGCCGAGGGCGGTAGAAGCCTGTGTTGGTGTACTTGTGTGTTTCCTTATGTATGTTTGCAAATGTGCAATACTGAACCTTAACTGCTGTGGGAGACACTGTTTAAGGATGATCTTGGGGCATTGCGATTTTGGACTGACTGGAGAGAAATTACCAAAGAACAAACACAAACCCCTAAGTTGCTACTTGTTTATTACCATAGCCACTCTTTCAACCTCCTCACTTTTGCTCCTGCTCCCTAGCTGGTCCTTATATGGTGCTCTTGCAGTATCTGGAAGCAGGGGTCTCCACAGTGGCAATTCTTTTCTCCAAAGTTTGATTTTTCATACACACAAACTATCATAAAGTTTCATAGCCATGAAAACGTTTAAAGGAAAAACTTTAAATATAGATCTCCTCTTTCTGTGTTCCCCCAGCCCCTATGAAAGGCATCAGTACTCCTCATTTGCTCTTTTTTCTAACCCTTGCAATGACCACTGGCTTCTGAGGTCAGCCCTGTCCTCCCTCTGCAGTTGGCAGGTCCACCTGCCTACTCTAGTCCAACCCCAGTCTCAGGACTAAGGAACAGGCTCTGTCTCTTAGAATCCAAACCCTCAGGGGATGCCTTAGAGTTGGGGTGGGAGTGGAGAAAGGAAAAGAAAAACAATGAGTGGGAGGGAGGATAAAAGAGGCAAGAACACAGAAATGGAAAGAAAACTAGGTCTCCTTGCAGCCAACTGTGCTTGTTCTCCCAGGCTGAGCTGACACAGCAGAAAGAGGGAAAATAAGGGGGAAAGGCAAGGAAAGTCAAGTTAAAGCATAGTTGCTTGTCTTCCCCACTCCCATTTTAGTTGGCACAGGGCACAGCCAGGCTTTCAAAGGCTCGTTTCAAAGGCAAGGAGTTGCGGGTCGGAAAGGATGCTGGATCCTTCAGTTTTCCATGAGCTTGTTCAATCCAGATATCAATTTGGCCAATAAACCTAGCTCTGGAATTTGCCTTCAACATGACATTTGGACCAGGCTTGGGGTTGAAGCCAGGGTGATGGCGACCAACGCCTTCAAAATACATACTGAATTCATTTTTACTTAAGTAATCCTTCCTCCTGCAGCCTTACCCCCACCCCGCCCCCAACTCTCCAAGCAATAGCTCCTACACAGGAGTGAAATCCAGAGGCCCCCTAAGTAAACACAATTTGAAGCTGTGTAAGGGATTCCTGACCTTTCCCGGTTTTTTTTTTAATTGGTGTATTTTCCTGGACCCTCTGGTTCATTGTCTCTTCCTACGTGCTTCTTTGCGGGGTCTTTCTGAGGGCTCACTTGACATTTGGTCACTTTCGTTCGTCTCCAAGGCATGTCAGGGCGCTATAGTATTCTGTTCCACACTTCTCATACCCCAAGTTTGATGTCAGACTTTCCAGAATCTGGCAAGTGTGCGACACACTTATAAAGCCGTCTGGCCCTTTCCCCAGACAATGCCCACCTCTCTGAGCCTTCCTTGATTCCATTGGTGCTTGGATATTTATTGTTTGACCCAAGAAACAACTCCTGTCTCTCGCCTATTCCAGTGTGACACACACCGCGCTCTGTTTCTGTATCTTTTTCTGCTCCTGAACTGGCCAACACGAAATTCAGGGCCAAGCGCGCTCCCTGCACGGAGGCCTACTCCCTCTTGCGTTGCCTAGCAACACACCTAGCAAAATACTAGTCCAGGCCAGCCTGCTCTCTCTCAAAGAAGCTTTGGCTGTCTGCCACCTTGGTTTCCTCGGCTCCCCGTTTCCGATTCAAGAAATACACTCTTTTTTTGGCGGGGGGTCCTTAAGAAGTTCCCGCTGTTCATTTCTTGGAGTGTGTGCACTGGGGTTTTGGGAGTGTACGAGTTGGGAAGCAGGAGATTTGGTCACTCTCCATTTTAGTTTTTATCGAAGAACTATCTCTACGCTATCGACAACTTTTCAGAGATCCAACTAATGGGTCTCGAACTGAAAAACACTAGCCTGGGGTGCCCACTTCCACTCAACCACCGGAGAAGAAGGAGTCGCCGTAGCAACCAGCTAACCCGCACCCGCGGTCCTTCAGGCACCTGCCTTTGGCTGGGTGGAGTCCGCGAGAAGCGCCGGGAAAGGCGCGCGAAAGCATCCTCTGTGTGTGTGTGTGTGTGTGTGTGTGTGTGTGTGTGTCTGTGTCTGTGGTGAGGAGGTTGAGTAAAGGGCTGCAAAGAAGCCTAAAGGGGGGCTTGCTTGGGACAAAAGAGGGGATGGGGGGAGGGGGCGGAGCTGAGTGGAATGGGACAAAAGCGGGGTGTGTGTGTGGGGGGGGGAAGGGCGGAGCTTAATGGAGTGGGTAGTCGGGGAAGTTGGATGCGCTAGGGCTCTCACTGCAATTGCGTGCGCGTATGCGCCAGGGGCGCACACCCTCCTCGCCAACCACATCACAACCACTACACGGCTGGCCAAAGAAAAGCGGGCCAAGATGCGGCTGAGGGATACCTCGCATACTTTCGATGTGACCGGATTGTTACCAGAGTTCTCGCTTCCAAGTTCAGACCCTTTCCCCGCGCAAAGATTTTCCAAATCCACACTCCCCCCAGGATGAACGGTGAGCTCGCCTTTGAACAGCGGATCTTAATAAAAATAACCCTGTAAACTGGCCTCTGGGGGCCTCCGGGACTTGGGTTTCGCCATCCTCCGGCTCGGTTTTGCAAACCAGAACAACTACCTCTTGAGAGGGGCAGTCGCCTGCGACAGGCAAAGGCCAGGAAAGCTCTCCCGCTTCCTGTCGAAAGCCGATTCACTCAACTCATACAAGATAATGTTGGTAGTTCGCTCGTAAGAAAATTCATGTTGGGAAGCTCGTGGATAACCAAAGGGGATAAGAGAATAGAAGGGCATTGTCCCAGTAAGAATCTGCACAGAATAAACGTTATTTAGCCAAGTCGTAAATCCTCTTGGGGAGAAATCAATAACCAGGTTGTCTCTCAGAACCCAGACTTTAAGTATAGTTAATTAAACTAAAAACAAAACAAAAAGATCAGGTAACTTTCCAAAAGGAAACCCATGCTAAGCGGGCAGAACTGTTCTGATTGCACAAGTAGCTCTGTCAATCATTTAAGCCCCATACTCCAAGCGCCTGGGTCTGGGGGCGGAGTAACTCAGGGGTGGGGCAATTTGAAAGTGAGGAGGAGCTTCGGGTGAGTGGCTTTCCTGTCTCCGCCCCTTAAATTTTGCATACCGCGTTTCCAAGGCCCCTCAGCGTATTTACACCACACCCATTTGTGATGGAGTTTAAGAGACTGGGGCCGTGTTTGTAGAGGATTAGCACTTGCGGTGAGGTAGGGATGTTGCAATCGCCTATCCCTTGTCTCTCAACCCCATATCCACCTTTTTTCCTAGATAAAAATCTGAATTGGGGAGGGGAAAAGAAATTCGATTTGGGGACGAAAGCCCAGCACAGAAAACCAATTCCTCCACCCCGCAACGCCCTTCGCCTAAGGTATTCTTTCTCTTCCTGGGAGAAAAAAGCCAAGACGTTTTACACTTCAGGATTTCATCATCCATCACATTCATGTCAAATCAAAAGAAATGAACGCATGTGAAAGAGGGGGCCAAAGCCCCTATCCCAAAGTTACCTAGAGAGTGTTGGGGTGGAGGGACTTGGGGGAAAAGAGGGACAAAGGTAAAATTAGTTTAGAAGACGGGTAACGCCCCTCTCTCTAGGTTCCCAGTTAAAACAATATTTTAACAAAAGACACCCCCCCCTCCCCAGTTCAGGAATACTATGTTAGCTGGAAGATAGCGGAGGGTGTTGAGAAAGGACACACACTCTTTCAGACAGCAGATGGGGCACCAGGGAATCTAGTCCTGAGTCCGATTACGAGCTCAGAATTAATATTGAGATGCGGAGGATGGGTGCGGTGAGACAGAGGCAGGAGAAAGGAGAAGGAGGGAAAACTGGACAGCAGCCTAGGATACCAGGCGTGTCCAGAGCTCCTTTTCCGAGATCCAGGGACCCTACCCGCCTAATTCCCCACTACACCCGCCTAGGCACCGCGCGCGGTTCCGCTGTTCCCGTGTCCCCCGCCCGTGAGCCGTGTGGCTGCCTGGCACCCTGAGCTCGCTCACCGATCTTGACTTGTTCGCGGTAGCTCTTCTCGTTGAGGCAAAGCCCACGGCCGTGCAGAAGGGCATGCAGCGGCTTCTCCTCCTCCTGCCGGGGAAGACAGCGCAGCCCCTGGGCGCAGCGCTCAGTGTAGACACCGCACAACTGCCCCTCTGCCAGGGCGCATGTCATGCAGCAGCCGCAGCCAGGCTCCTTGACCAGCTCGCAGCCCAAGGGGCTGGGGGGGCACATGGACAGGGCTTTCTCGTCGCAGGGTTCGCAGTGCACGAAGGAGCCCAGGCTCTGGGCTGGCCCCGCGCAGGCGGTCAACAGCAGGAGGACCGCGGTGAGAACCATCTTCTCGGAGTCTCCCAGTTTACCTCGGGGTTGGGCAGGAGAGCGCGAGCACAGGGAGAAAGGCGCCAAGAGGGCGCCTAGACACTGTTTTCTTTGGGGGTGGGGTGGGGGGACTTTAATTTCTGGCAGGTAGAGCAGGTGCCCTCTCGCAGACACTTGCAAAATGTAGGGAGAGATGGAGGGTTAGGGTGCTTGCAAGTGAAGTCTCAATTGCAAGGATAAAAGACTTGCAACAGGTTGGGAAAAAAAATAAAGAGTAGCGCCAGGTGCACGGAGAGGGAACCGAGGACACAACACCTCAATTCGACCTGCTCAAATTGCAGGTGGGAAAGCCACGAAATTGTTCACCCCAAGCAACCACCGGAATTATGAGTTCGGAGGCTTTGGAGGAGAAGGGAAGGGTCTGGGGGCAGATAGCTTCAAAATTTTTGTTTAAAATCTAAAATACTCTCAGCTCCTTTCTAACCCTCAGCTGCCTGGGACGCGCGGCTGCCGCGAAACAGGTAAGAAGGGGCGGCTGCAGCTGAGAGGGTGGGGGAAATGTTGAAATCAAGAAATTTAAAAACACAAAAAAACAAAACCCAACAAAACCCCAAAACCTAACACCTCTGTTCTCCCACTCAACCACCACCTCTTCAAAATTCGCAGGTTCTGCGTAAAAGCCCGGCAAAGGGTGCAAACGGAGGAGAGGGTAATTAAAAAGAGGGAAAAA